AAGTGACCTTTTAGTTTAAATGATCCAACGCATTTTAGGTATATCAAAACAAAAGGAGATCAAGGTCTTGGTGTGTAGGAGGAAACTAGAATACCCAGAGGAAACCCAGGCAGGCAGGTACAGGGAGAATATACAAACTCCAGGCAGGTGGTGCCATGGTTGGGATTCAAACAAACGACCCTAGTACTGCCAGGAGGAAGTGCTAACCATTTAGCCACTGTGCTGTAATGATATAGGGGCTGGAAGAAGGAATGATAGGAAGCAAAGAGGGACTATAAAACTGACACTCAGATATGGATCAGATACAGAAGATTTTCAAGCAGGATTATCTATTCAATGCAGCAAAGTTTTGCTGCACCAACAGCAGGACAGGTAAACATTAATGGCTTGTTTGCAGGAATCAATTACATTTTTTTTTATAAGGTGAATAATGTTTAAAGGCATAGTCCACTTTTTAAAAATGTAATAAAACCGCCATCAACTATTTCACAAAAAACGTGCATATATTACATCTTTGCATTTAACGTTTACAGAGGATTGCAACTGCAATTGGTGCATTCTTCATTCAATGCGCAGTCTAATGTATAGTTTACATCCCAGCCCCAGGTCTGTACAGAGATACCGCTCCTGCTGCTTCCCCATTACACTGTTCAACAAATTTTTATTTTTTGCCAGTTTTGGAAACAAAAGGATCCATTTCTTAATGAATTTCACATTCTGAGTTCAAATATAACAATGAAATTTGTCAATTGGCTCTAGTTTTTCTGTAAACGGAAAGTTTTCTACTATAGGCGTAATGACTACATAATGCACAATAATTATATAGATAGATGTCTTTCCACAAATATAAAGCAAGTGATATTGACTACATAACAAAGCCTAAATGGCATAATATATTGCATAGGATTACCAAGAAAAATTATAGCCATAAGCTAAGTTGAATCATTTTAATACTTAGGATTCTCACTAGTTTTGTCTTCAGTTTGTGTCGGTTTTGCTTCTCTTGGCTTTTCTCTTGTATTCGAGGAAAGGGCTATCTCTTACAACTGCACGTGACTACACGCTTCAGGTTCTTCCTCACTTGACTCAACCACGAAGGATTCTGGTGCTTTAGGAATTGGTAGCCCCTCTCCATGAGGAACTGGACGTATTGCCGATGGAATATTTGGATAGTGCACAGATAACTTTTTCTTCTTATTTAGCCCTTTTACAATTGGAGGCACCATACAAAAGTAACAATTACTAACATGATCTGTTGGCTCTCTCCAAATCATTGGCAGCCTATATAAGCATAAAACGAAATGTAAAGACGCTGTAGAACTACAATCAGCTACAGATACTGCAGCTTTTATGCAGTGAAGTGATGCAATTAAAGGCTAATATTGCATCATCTCAGTATACATGCAATTTTCTATTGGTCACCAGTATCAATTGCGCAATATGCAGCTGAAGTTGCATCATAATTTTGAATGGCTTACGTCATTAGATGGGTGAATATATCATGGAAACTAGAGCCAATCAACATTTTTTAGGGTCATTTTCGTTTTCAGCACCCCAAAATTATGTAAGATTAGCTAATTTTATGCCCAAAACTTTTTACCTGATGAACAGTGTTATTCCTCCATCAGTCAGAAGGCTCTTAAACGAGGAAGCAAAGCCCTGCTCTTCTACCATGATGGTTCGCCTTCACACAGAGTTGCAGCGCAGGTAATCAGTAGCTGGGTTAAAATAAATAAATAAAAGCACTGGCAAGTAACCTGTCAGCAATTCTGGGGACTCGCCCTTTACCTTTTTTGGGCACATCTTCCACACTTCAGGTCTCTTAAGCTGGCAATACATGTGGCAATTTTCAGCCAGTTCCAACCATCTAACATCTACCAAGAATACAATCACAGGTAAGGCCAGGCACTAAGCAATCTATCCCCCCAGATTCATTGTGAAGGAGCAACTTGGCAATACATTGACACATTCAATACAATTTATTGAACCAAAAATGGAGATAACCTACAGCGGATGGATATTTCAAGGTTCAATAGGGTCCGCTCCCCCTTTTAAATTCACTGTTAGCAGTTCTGAAATGTACAGGTAAAGAAGAAAAGATTTATTCTTCTGAACTGATGGGTGTGACATCACTGTCCGAAATCTAGCAAGACAACGCTCTTGCCAAATTTTGCCAGATAGTTTTGTGGAAGGACAATCTGGCAAAATTTGCCAAGAGTGTTGTCTCCCTAGATTTCGAACAAACATTACACCCAACAGTGCAGAAGACGGAGGTAAGGCATGGATAGGTCTAACTTTTTCTTTACAGGTATGTTTTGGAACAAATATTGGATGATTTTTTTTTTGATTGGGGTGTACCTTTAAACAAGTTGGCAAATAATACTCCAAAAAAAATTGTCTACATTACCACAGTGCCAACTTCTTCTACAACACTTTACAAAGAAGGATCTTTGAATGTTAAAAAGCTCAACGGAAACTTTCTGTCCTAATAGTAGATTTCAGCAGGCCCAGCATAGCCTATCAGTGTGAAGCTCTCATCTCGAGGAAGCAGTAAAGCAGGGGTGTCAAACGGGCAGCCCTCCAGCTGTTGCGAAACTACAAGTCCCATCATGTCTCTACCTTTGGGAGTCATACTTGTAACTGTCAATCTTGCAATGTCTCATGGGACTTGTAGTTTGGCAACAGCTGGAGGGCCGCCAGTTTGACACCCGTGCAGTAAAGGGTGAGCAGCATTAATATGATGCAATAAGTACCCATCCAAGTTGCTCTAACTCAGCAATGGGAGTGATCAACGGTCTAACCCTTTGTGTACAAGAATCAGAGGGAGATCTTTCCAATGGGGGCACAGACAAAAATTCATTTTAAGCAAGGGAAAGGAGTCTAAATTTACCCCAGTAGGGACACTAGATACAGAGAATCTAAGCCTTTCATGCTTTATTGATAGCAAATTAAAAAATAGATGAAGTGGGCTTTAAAAGTGCACTACCGCTGACAAATCTTAGATAAGGCAAGGGTGTGCATTTACTAAAAAACAAATTTCATCTTGTTCTGCAGCTTGGATACAAGAGTCCCCTATTTTATTTAGTGCAGGGGCATAGTAGCTACTTGACCTACTATCACTGGAAAAACAAGCTGATTTTTATTTTATTATTAGTGGAACAATTAACCACTTTACTGCCACCCTAGCTACAGGGCAGGAGTATATACGTGATTTTGCATTTCCGGGTAGGGGCGCGCGCGCGCGCCCTACCCATGTCGCCATTTGCAGTCTCGGCTGTCAAATCACCAGGTCCCGATTGGTGATTACTCATCGTCACATGGTGATCGCCGAGTAATACCGATGGGGGAGAGAACGGTAAACAATACAGTTCTCTCCCCGGTCACCTCCACCACAGCAAAGCCATACAAAGCAGTATGCTTACAGTGGAAAACACACACACAGCCCCAAAATAAAAACACACACAGCACACAGTTAACCTTTTGATTGCCGCAGATGTTAACCCCTTCCTGCCCAGTGCCATTAGTACAGTGTCAGTGCTTTTTATTATCACTGATCACTGTATTGGTTTCACTGGGGATGTCAGTGACACCAAGTCAGTTCCCCCCAGTGTCAGCATGCCCGCCGCAGTTCCGCTATAAGCTGCTGATCACCATCATTACCAGTAAAAAAAAAAAAAAAAAAAATTCCAATATATATCATTTGCAGACGCTTTAACTTTCACGTAAACCAATTAATTTTCACATAATGGGATTTTTTTTTTTTTTTAGGAAAGACATGTAGCAGAATACACTTTGGCCTAAATTTATGATGAAATTTGATTTGTTTAAAAAATGTTTTAATGGACATGATTAATAGCAAAAAGTCAAAAATATTGTTTTTTTTTCTCAAAATTGTCAGTCTTTTTTTGTTTATAGCGCAAACAATAAAAAATGCACAGGCGATCAAATACCACTGAAAGAAAGCTCTACCTGGGTGCAGAGTTTCAGGACCGCGCAATTGTCAGCTAAAGTAATGCAGCACCGTAATGCAAAAAATGGCCTGGTCAGAAAGGGGGGGGGGGGGGGGGGGTAAATCCTCTGGAGGGCAAGTGGTTAAAGTAGCAAAATATATATATTTGTTTTGCTGTTATCAGTGGTAAAAATGCTAAATGTTTTCTTTCTGTATTTCAAGTACAAACGTAATCATTGCCCCACAAACTGACCGCCTTTAAAACAAAGGTCAGACAACCCTATTAACACTTATGAGAGGTTCACTTCAACACCTACCTCCCAAGGAGCATACCAGATGCCTCTATAATGGAGTAGTTGGAGCAGTTGGGATCCCACTGGTCTATCTATAGGCAAGTAGCTTGATGTTACCTGATCTGCAGAGCTTAGATTTGATATAAGTGTATGTATGTGAAAGGTAGGCACAAACTGCACCTACATCTGTCCAAAGAAAAATCCAGGAAACAATTTATTTATACCACCACTCAGCAACCACCCACTCACCCCAAATTAAAAAAAAATATTTTTTTTTTTAAATTTTCAAAGAAAGACAATTCTTGTGTTAAATATGTTAAATACTATGAAATTTTATTTTTAAAAAGTTTTAAAAAGTCTTTAAATTAAGCGAACCATTGCTATGTGTTTACCTTCTGTAAAGGGAATAAAGTTCAAAGTCCCCGGTACAAGCATGTGTTTAAAATTCCTGACAGCTGGTCAAGGGTCACAATACATAAAATGTTACAGTTCAGTCAGATGCAGATGATTCCAGTGTGATTCCATTTATAAAAACGCCACTTTTGCCATGTTTATGTGATCTCTGAAACTGTTATTTTTCAACTTTTATTTATAGCAGACCTGATGTTTATTCTCAAATTCTTAGATTCTCAGTGGTGACTTAAGAGTTCCAGACGCTGAAGGTTCACAAGGAAAGCAGCTGGTTTCCCCCATTATTCTTTTCTCACCACTACCAAATCATTCTGCTTGATAACATCTTAGGATGACATTCGTGTTTTTCAGTTGCATGGCTTGCGGTATTTACACTGAATCCAAACGCGATACATTGTCAGCTGTTTGCCTCGATTAACTTGCAGCCGTCGATCCACTATATTCTGGGCTTTCTCCAAACCAGCTTTATTAAACATATCCCCAAGCTCATCTAAAAGGAAAGTATGATTTTTTTGATAAAAAAAAAAAATGCCACAATAACATTAGGCTCAATAAGTTTTAAATCAACCTGGTCACTAAGGGAATCCCAGGGTGTCACCAGGGTCATCCCAATTGGAAAATTTCCTCCCTATTAGCCTGGGTTCACATATATGCGGTGCGATATATCGCATGTGATTTGCACAGGAACCGCACCCACATTCCTGTGCAAATCACATGCGATTTGTGTGTGGTGCGATCAGAGACATACATTTTGTATGGCTCTAATCGCACCGCAACAAAAAGGTGCAGGACCCTTTTTTTGGTCCGCACTAGAATCGGATCGCATGGGTATTCACACCTATGCGATCCGATTCTGCACATCGCACTACGTTTTGCAGAACAATTTCGGGGTGTTGTTAATTTAACATACATGCCCGCAGCGGTTCGCATGAACAGGGTGTGATTCTGATGCGGTGTGTGGAATTCGCACAGAAAAAGCTGCGAATTCTGGACCGCATCAGTGTGAACCCAGGTTTACTGTTCTGGTGTCAACCAAAATTTGGAACTTTTACATTCAATGACAACGGTAAACAGGACCAATAGAGAGGGTAAATCTTGTTAACCGGGACACAGACAGAATAAATAAATAAAAAGACGGGTGTTCTAATCCTTCTCCATTCTATCAAAAACTAATCAAGTTTTGTTTTTCGTTACGCTTTAACAAACAATTGCTCAGCCTGTAGAGAGTATAAGGACTTCTTGTTACCGGTCCTGCCACCTACACTGTGAATTCTGTTCTATTACATAGCTACGATGGCTGAAATATCTTCTGTATCCAACAGTTGATGTCTGGTTCCCCCCCCACCTCTGCAACGTGTAGTTTCATCTGTTGGCCATATAAATCTGGTCATACATGGAGTAGACTTTAGCCACTACCTGATAAATCAGATATAATTCGAGTTGTGCGTGACCCTGTCGGCACTTTCCTGCTTGACATACTTTGATCTGAAAATCGAAGGAGCTGGGCGGAAAACTGTCCACCAAATATACAATCAGATGCAGCCACTGTTCGGGTATTTTAACAGGTGCAGGTGCCAGCTGTTGAAAAACTGTCAGCAGGGCAGCTTCCTCCAGGAGGAGAAAATCAATTGCTGAAAAAGAGAACTCCTGCAGCTTAATGCAAGCTTAAATCTCCAAAAATTCCTGTAGTGACACAATTGGATGGAAACACAGTGAGGTGAGTGGTACAAGGCATCCAGCACTTCTGAAAGTGTTGGATGCTGAGGACCTTAATCTTAACTCTACAACAGTGGTCACCAAACTACGGCCTGTGGGCTAAATGCGGCTCTTTGCTTGCCTCTGTGTGGCCCTCAGGGAACTATTCCTCTCACTGATACCAACAAGAAGGCACTATTTCTTCCACTGACACAAACTATGGGGCATTTTTCCTTCGACTTACACCAATGATGGGGCACAATTTCTCCCACTGATACAAACAATTAGGTACTATTCCTCCAACTAATACCAATGATGGGGCACTATTCCTCCAACTAATACCAATGATGGGGCACTATTCCTCCCACTAATACCAATGATGGGGCACTATTCCTCCCACTGATACCAATGATGGGGCACTATTCTCCCACTGATACCAATGATGGGGCACTATTCCTCCCACTGATACCAATGATGGGGCACTATTCCTCCCACTGATACCAATGATGGGGCACTATTCCTCCCACTGATACCAATGATGGGGCACTATTCCTCCCACTGATATCAATGATGGGCACTATTCCTCCCACTGACACCAATGATGGGGCACTATTCCTCCAACTGATACCAATGATGGGGCACTATTCCTCCAACTAATACCAATGATGGGGCACTATTCCTCCCAACTAATACCAATGATGGGGCACTATTCCTCCCACTAATACCAATGATGGGGCACTATTCCTCCCACTGATACCAATGATGGGGCACTATTCCTCCCACTGATACCAATGATGGGGCACTGTTCCTACCACTGATAACAATGATGACGCACTATTCCTCCCACAGATACCAATGATGGGGCACAATTTCTCCCACTGATACAAACAATTAGGTACTATTCCTCCAACTAATACCAATGATGGGGCACTATTCTCCAACTAATACCAATGATGGGGCACTATTCCTCCCACTAATACCAATGATGGGGCACTATTCCTCCCACTAATACCAATGAGGGGGCACTATTCCTCCCACTGATACCAATGACAGGGCACTGTTCCTACCACTGATAACAATGATGATGCACTATTCCTCCCACAGATACCAATGATGGGGCACTGTTCCTACCACTGATAACAATGATGACGCACTATTCCTCCCACAGATACCAATGATGGGGCACTATTCCTCCAACTAATGATGGGGCACTATTCCTTTCTCTGATACCAATGATGGGGCACTATTATTTTCTCTGATACCAATGATGGGGCACTATTCCTTTCTCTGATACCAATGATGGGGCACTATTCCTTTCTCTGATACCAATGATGGGGCACTCTTCATCCCACTGACACCCATGATGGGGCACTCTTCATCCCACTGACACCCATGATGGGGCACTATTCCTTCCCCTGACACCAATTATGGAGCACTATTCCTCCCACTGTCACCAATGACGGGGCACTATTCCTTCTACTGTCACCAATGATAGGGCACTATTCCTTCCACTGTCACCAATGATATAGGGCACTATTCCTCCCACTGTCACCAATGATAGGGCACTATTCCTCCCACTGTCACCAATGATAGGGCACTATTCCTCCTACTGTCACCAATGATAGGGCACTATTCCTCCTACTGTCACCAATGATAGGGCACTATTCATCCCACTGACACCAACGATAGCTGATGGGACACTATTGCTTCCAATAATACCTATGATGGGGCACTGTTCCTCCAACTAATACCAATGATGAGGCACTATTCCTCCCACTAATACCAATGACTGGACACTATTCCTCCTTCCACTGGCTACAAGCAGTAACCTGGGCAGCAGAACAGATCCTTTTCTTTACAATCTGTTGGGTGGATATCAGACAGCCTTTCATATTGCAGGCAATTATTGCAAGTGGCTAATTAAAACAACCCCCTTGGCAGACAACTGACCCCTGTACGGGCACCTTTATAAGTCAGAAAACACAATCTTACCTTGAGTAAAAAAGTAGACCCTTGTGCCGTCTCCTCTTACATAGAAGTTTTCAGACAGACATCGCCCTGAAGAATACACATGATAAGCATCATCATAAGAATCTAACTACATACTGAAAGGTGCAATTAATTACTGCATATACAGGGGGCAGGTAGGACCAACAATCATCACAAATATGAAGACTGAACAGTTAAGAGTAGACTTTGACCTATTGCATTTCTAATGCATAACTAAAACTTGCAACTTCTCCTCTTGTAAGAAACCAAAGGCAATAGAACAAGAAGATATGCCTTCCTGCATGACTCATTGAACCTCCACCCTAAGAGTCATGTAGAACGTGCAAATTAAAGCACAGATCCACAATTACACCAACGTAGGCCATATATTCACTTTGTAGAACCCCCCCCCAATGGCTATCTAGCCTATCCTGGGAGTGGTACACCAGCTCCAACCATACCCCCTACACAAAAAGTAAATAACAGGGAGGCGCATCTAAAAACAAGTACTACAAAAAAAACCCAAGGGAAAAAGGATACCGCACCTCAATGGCTACTGAACATCAATGGCCATTGAGGTGTGGTATCCTTTTTTCCTTAGGGTTTTTTTTTTCACGTATATCCATCCTCCCTGGGTGCAAAGGCAGGAAGTAGAGTTCTTGTCACTCCAAGAAGGAAGATAAAAATTGTCAACCTATTTGTGGTACATTAACATACAAGAAAGGACAAACATCGATTTATTTCAGACTTGGTAAGGAAACTTGGCAAGACAAAAATGCAGAGCGGCTACAGACTTTTTTATAAAATTTAAAAGCCAATACAGCCCCTGGCTGTCCAACTTATCCTATAACTTAATGGAAATTGGGGCTTTCCCGGCATGCATGCCTGTTCAGGGTTGGTTACAAGAGGAGCCACTACCTTTGTTTAAAGAGACACCATTTGATTGTCCATTTAAGGCAAAGTGACAGTTGTATAAGGGCTTCCCCCGACCCCTTTTATACTGACCTCTCGAGTGCTGAGAAATATCCAGTGCTTCCTGGAATGGGGGGGGGGGGAATATGTGACCTCCTCCTGCAGCGACTCGCTACTAGACCCAAGCTCTGTCACAGGTGATGTCACTGCTCCATCTGACACCAAGAAGTTTGGTGAAAGGAATCATGGGGTGGCATAATTAGGTGTGGGCTTTAGGCGCTGTCATTTTACCCTGATGAGGTGATGGTGCCACTTTAAATATACATTATTTTTTTTAATGAATACAGTACATAACATAATTTACTGCTTTTTATATCCACCTGGATTTAAATTTAAATGTTGTACCCCCAACCCTTGAACATGGCTCTTCACTAAAGTAAAAGACCCCTACAGAGATTTCACAATCTTGGCAGTTATACCTTTCTTAAATCGTAGCTGGGCCATGTCATAACGGCCATAGTCCCTCAACAGGATGCAGCCACCAGGTTTCAGAAGCCTACTTAAACGTGAAATGGCATCTTGCATTCTGCAAAGAGAGAAAACAGAAAAGAGATGGAATTACACATAGCAAAAAAAGGTGAGTCGTGTGAATTGGCTGTGGTGGTTTCATTAGTTACAGCTGTAGATTTGAAAAATGTTTTATCTATTCTGCTTTAACCCTTTGAGGACCATAAGATTTTGGAACGCCAAAAGAATCAATTTTTTTGTTTTTAAAGTTCATACACTTCAGTTGCTGTAACTAAGCCATTTCATGAAATAATTGGCAAAAAGCTAGATACATTTGTTGTTTGTTGATAAGAACTAATATTTTGACTCAAACCAAAAAAAAAAAAAAAAAAAATTTTTAAATTCTTAATCAGATGATACACACAATTAAAAACATGGGACAAATACGTCCCTTGGTCCTCAAAGGGTTAAAGCCATTTTCTTCTTTATTTACATTGCCTGCGGCACAAGGGCAGTGCAGCATGCACTGTAAGATGCCAATTAGTGGATCAAAGTCTGGAAATAAAGAAACTGCACTGTGCATAGGTGGAAGTTGCAGCATCAGAAGGTGCCCAATGGCCAAGTGATAAAAACATCAGTAGACGATGAAGATGGTAGCTCAGGCGATAGAGCAGGGACAGACAGCACAGAGCTATCATCAATGAAACACGGAAAACACATTATTGCAAGTGCTGCAAGAGGAATTTTAAGAGCTTTAAAGTGACATTGTCACCATGCCTATATAGGCCAAAATGACAATGTTTCTGCAAAGGGCCCCTCTGACTCCAATATTATAACCTCATCTGTGCTCCTTCCATGTTCCTTTCGAGTGGTGGCCTTACTCTCAAGGTCACATGATGTTTGGGACTAGCAAACTGGCATCTAGACCCAAGCACTGTCACAGAGGAGGGTATCAAGTGCACCTCCATACCTGGAAGTGCTGAGTGCAGTCTACGGCTACAAAGAGTGGCGAGGGTGCACTGGTTACAAGAGTATCAGTGGGTCAGGGGAGAGACTGTAATTTTTCTCTGCACTGGCAAACTGCCAGTGTCTCTTTAAGGACTACATATTAAAACAGTACCATGCATGATTTAGCAGAAATATTGAGAAATTACACGAGTTTCCCGCTGAAGCGCATTAAAGTGACTAAAGAAGTACAATATGGACACCTAGTGGTGTTTTCGTATACATTCAGATGTCTTCAAGATACAACCTACCCTCCACAAAACCTGCACCACTCCTTTACTAGTAGTATTAAATATAGTATCAATAGCCATTCACATATTCACTGGTGTATAATCATTGGCACCAAATCCCTATAAAACGTTCCAAAACCAGACTTGCATTGAACATAGGATATTTTTTTTTTCTGGATGTGGTTGTGGGCCTTGCGGCCCTCTGCCTTACACAGTGTTATCTAGACCCCAGCACGGGTCTTATATGTGTATTTCTATGTTTGTTGCATGTTGTTTCCCTATCCTCTATTGTTTGTTGTCGCTTCGTATCATATGATTTGTCATGGTTTGTATGTTTCTTTTAACATGCTTAATAAAATCTTTGGTAAAAGAACATAGGATTTTTAATGTGCATAGCTCCAAAAATATAACTGTGTGATGTACACTTTGGCACCTTAAAAATCCCACTTTCAATGCATGTCTGGTTTATCATAGGCCTACCAGCTCCCTACCAGTCTTTCTATTCAAGGCCTAGTTCACACCATGGTGCAGAGACATCAGTTTTTCCGCACACGTTCTGCAAGGGCACAACAAAATCAACTGTTTTCTATGTGCCCTGTTCACACCACCACACTAGTATCACATGCAGATTTTTCGTCAGCAGGAATCTGCAAGGTGTATAAAACTAACTGAGGCTCGCATGAAAACTGATATCTCTGCAAGTGAAATCTGCATGTCAGTTTCCTTCAGTTTTCATGCACGTATGGAGTGAATGAGCCCTAAGAGTATCATCACTATAAAGGGCAGTCTTTTTTTTTTTTTTTTTTTCTGGCCAATAAAAATTTACAGACACATTCCTTTAAGAGTGAGGCAACAAAAAATAAAAATGACAAGTGTGTGACCAGTCTCCCTCCACAATGTGTCACTGATAATCATATCTATACCTAGAAAACTATATCTATACCCATGAAATATCAGCTATTCCTATTCTGTGTAAGTACCTCGGTCACTCAGCATGATGTAGCTGAGAAGGATGGTGGTGGACACAATTTACCAGCTATAAACGAATATTCAAACAGAGCAGAAAATAAATGTGAGCAAAGTTTTTCCACACAATAGCTTTCAATCCATGGAGTCCCCCGCTGAAAATTGCTACTGCAGGTTGGTGATGCTAGATGAGCAACAGTGAAATATGACAGTAACTGTGCCAAACATAACAGCTTGCAGGGCCTTTATAAATGTTAGAAGATTCTACTGACTGATCTGCTCCCCTCCTACTTACAAAAGGACCTGAACCATGCCAGGGAATGCAACCCCTTACAGGTTTACTCATCAAAAGCCAGTAACATGTTGGCTATTCTAATGTGGTGCATGGAAGCCAAGAAACATGTTTCTAAAGCTAGCCAGAAGGAGCAGCTAGACTACATCAGTAAAGAACCTGAAGACATTCAGGATACTAAGCAAAAATTGAGTTCTCACTCCCCTGTGCAAAGGATAAAGCCTTAGGGGAAGGAGCACCCCCTCCCCTGTCTAGTGTCATCCTCCTAGGGGGAGATCCTGATGTCTCGGTGTCCCCCAATGAGCATTAAAGGAAATGCAATGGTTTGCCAAATCCCCAGAGTAAATCTTTCCGGAGAGAACCACGAAGGATGCTTTCGCAGAACAATACTGAGAATAGTAGCCGTCAACAACTGGAGTTTCTGACCGAGATCAAGTATTCATCTAAGGACTTATGAGATTATTCCTAGATTTCTGATAAGCATACTTACTCCTGGTCATTGACTCAAATTAGTGAAGTCAGAGGGTCACCATGACAAGCCAGGTAACTAGCTCTTCTAGAAGACATTCGAGCATAATGAACTGCTTGATCAGGAACGGTGTTGCACCTGTCTGGCTGAGCAGTGTGTTTAAATGTGTTTAAATCACAAGACTTACCAGACTGGTTGACCTACAACTGTGTATTTAGCAATTTGACTTTTGTTATATAAAATCCTAAAAAAGTAACCTGGTAGTAATTTAATTTTAAATTCTTCATTGGAAGCTTTTACTGTTACACATTGTGGTCAAGGCCATCTATTTTATAGAAAGGTACATGTTAAAATCAATGGCTGCAAACTCAGCAGAAAAGTGCACAGCTGCAGTTATCCATCTCAGTCCCTGGTGCAGAAAGAGCTTGCCATTTTACAGGTCACTCACTTGCTTGGAAGGATGGCTGAAAGGACAAAGATGAGAACAATGACATCTAAGCTGTCCTCAGGAATGGGATACTGCAAATTTTCATCTGATAGGTCGTGGACAAAGGCAAAGCATCGTGATGGATTATACTGAGGATTAGTCTGTAAAAGATGGCACAAAAACAATTACATTCATGCACTATATTTGCATTTTTTCTCATGCACAAATATCTGTATAATCAATCATTCTTTGTTTATTGATACTTTTATAGAATCGATTGGAAAAGGTTTAGTATCTAAAAAGGTTGTCACCAGACAGTGCTAGCAAAACATGGAGGGCTGTGGGACCAATTTCAAAAAATGAATTCTTAATTTTTTTTGGAAGGGAGATTGATCCTACAACAATCATAGAAGTTTACCAACATGATAAAAAAAACCTCTGGACACAAAAAGGAACACTCCTGCCTCTTGAACATATATGGGAGATGTCAAGTGAAACAAATGATTTACTTGCAAAGGAAGACTTATGAATCCCCAATTCACTTTTACCAATTATTTTCAAATCATCAATATCAGCCTCTCAACCAAGGTTCTGTGTAACCCCCGGGTTCCACCAGAGGTTGCTAGAGGATCTTTGAGCAATGAGCAATTTATCCCTCAGAGATAGGTTTCCATGGACACCAATGATCTATTTAGACATATGCATGGGGGATTGTTCCTACAAACCATTAATGTAAAGACCATTACGCCTACTGACCATTCCGCTTATGTACTTTAGGTATAGCAATTATTAGCAGGGGTTCCAAAATCATGTTGTCTTCCCACAGACTGTTCTCTTCTTACAATTCCTCTCAATTAATGGAGTGAAATTTGTTTATGCTTTCCAATAAGCTTTACATTATTATTTATATAGCACCAACACTTTACGGGGCCCTTTACGTATAATTGTACATTCAAATAAGTCCCTGTCCTCAAGGAGCGTACAATCTAAGCTTCCTAACTCACATTCATATATACACATACTATGGATAATTTAGATAGGGGCCAATTAACCTATGAGCTTGTCTTTGGAGTACAAACTCCATGCAGGTAGTGTAACGTAGTTTGGGATTTAAAGAGCCGGACTCTGCTGCGAAGGCAACAGTGCTAACCACGTGGTGGCAAGCCACTGTGCTGCCCAGCCTGCCACTGAGCTTGTCTTTGACATGCACCTATCACAGTGTTGTTGGGATTGTAGATCCTCTTATGCAACAACATAACCACCAACCTTTACTATTGTTGACATCCTATCGATGAATTTCAAGCACAAGTCCTCGATGAATTTCAACACTGACTGACGAATGCTCATCTGGACTAGTCCCCTTGCTTTAACTTGCACTCAACTCCATGCGAGCATCCAGCAGTGGATACTTCAGTACATGAACCATACTTTAATTTCATCAAGGACATTTGTGATTAGTGCATGTCAGCATAGTGGCAGTGGACAGCACAGTGGCTCAGTGGTTAAATACTTTTGTCTAGCAGCAGGCCGTGAGTTTGAATTGCAAGATTAAGTACATATTGTGTGAAATCAGCTAACATCTGTGTTCCCTGCATGCTTTGAGGTTTTGTATTATGGATTATCTTCAATAACTTTCACTGGATTTTCCATCTATTGGAGTGTGGTCAACCTCCTGTCATGTATTGAAGTATCCATGGCTGCGAATTGGACCTGTACTTACTGGTATGGTTAGGGGGCTAATATGCAAGGTGGTCTAACCTGGAGCAGTGCTATCTGATGATCATTCACCAGACCCAGAACATAAGATCACCATGGAAAGAAGACCTCAGGGAAGCACACAGAACACAAAGAAAAATGGAAGACCCCAGCCAAGAGTTAAAGCGGAGTTCCACCTGAAAAAAAAAAAAAAAAAAAGTCAGCAGCTACAAAAACTGTAGCTACTGACTTTTAAAATACAGTCACTTACCTGTCCCTCGGTCCAACGGTGTCTTTACCACCGCTGGTTTCACCGGCCATCTTCTCTCCCTGGCGCCGGCATCTTCAGTGTGGGCACCCGGCTGTGACAGCTTGCGGCTTCACAGCCAGGTGCCCACTACCCATGTGCGAGAAGCGCTGTGCTTTGTGAATGGCCCCGTAGTCTTCTGGGACCTGTCACGTGTCCCAGAAAACTACGGGGAGGGGATGGGAGTTCATCCCCTCCCCTTTGGGGAGATACCCGCTCCCCAAAGGTGCCAATCCTTAATGGGGAGCGGGGGACAAAGGCTTAAAGCGGAACTTCCCCTTTTGGGTGGAGCTCCCCTTTAAGTGAAAACATCAAAACTTGAAAACAACTAGAAGGTTCTAAAGTCAGAATCTAATTCCTCTTTATACAGCTCATGTGAACTCATTTCCACAAAATGTTTCACAAGAAGTCAGTCTGCCTTACGCTTGGTGTAGCCAAAGGTGCAAAGCCTTCAGAGTTTAAAGTCCTCTCAGATCATTCCTTTGCCAAAAACAAATGAAGGGATCAGTCAGTCTTTTCTCTCTATTAGACAGCTAGAAACCTTCCAAAAATAAGCTAGTAGTAGTAAATTGCATTCAACTGGAGTTGTTCAGTAACGCAAGGCATTTTACCGCTCATCCAAGCAGTTTCCATAGTTCTACTGAGTGTTGGGAACCTCCCCAACCATCTATTAGGCACATCGGTAATTTATTCCCTTTAATTCAAACACCATGGCATCATGAAAAGAGTTGAGGCTGATGTCTAAGAGCATAACAGAAGGTGTGAAAATCTGCCATGACACATTTCTGTGGTGAGTGGGTCAGTCTGACCGTGTGCAATGATGCATCACAATATAAGGAAAAAAAACAGCATCAATTTTACCAAGAAACCATTTATTAGATACATAGGCCGCTACACAATCTAATACTGCAAAGCACACTATAAATTCCAAGAAATAAATGGATGTACCCGCATCAAATGAAAAGCAAATAAATCCTGCATGAGCATTGCTGCGTATCTTACAGATCATGTTTTTCTTCTGATGTAATGCCCTATTTTTTCCCTCATATATGCAGTACAGAAAATAAAATTCCCTCATCATGAATTGTGCATGTCACATATTTACATGTAAACTGGCCATGTAACATGATCCTAAGTATTCTTGGAGGATCCTTACAGGTTACAAGTCCCTGTGTCCTCTGATCCTCATAAAAACACTTCCTGCACTTCTTAAGCATTTGCATGTGTTACCATGTAAAATGTAAACCTAAAACATACAGTACAATGCAGTGGTACCAGTAGTAATCCCTCCGGGAAATGTGATTCCAGTAAACTGTGTCTTTTTATAATGCAGTGCAGGAAAATGCACCATAAAAGAAATACAGAACTTATTTTAGCATCAGTTTAAAGCCCAACTCCTGCCAATTTTTTGTTTGAACAAAAACATTTCAACCTTTTCTCAATCTACTAAAAATGTATCTTTTTATTGTGTTTCTGGTTAGAAAGACTTCCTATCATAGCCTTTCTCAACCAGGGTGCCCAGGCACCCTACGGTGCCTTGAGGTTTCTTCACGGGTGCCTTGGCATAATGTACAAAAATTGGCCAAAAGCAGGTGGAACAAGCCTGCCTTTTATTATTATTTATTTCAGGTACTTATATAGCGCTGTCAATTTACGCAGCGCTTTACATATATATATTGTATATTCACATCAGTCCCTAACCCTCAAGGGGTGTACAATCTACAGTCCCTAACTCACATTCATATACAAGGGCCAATTTACACAGGATCCAAATTAACCTACCAGCATGTCTTTGGAGTGTGGGGGGAAACCGGAGTACCCGGAGGAAACCCACGCAGGCACAGGGAGAACATGCAAACTCCAGGCAGGAGGTGCCGTGGCTGGGATTCGAACCAACAACCCTAGTACTGCCAGGCGAAAGTGCTAACCGTTTAGCCACTGTGCTGCCCGTAGTTACACAAAGTCGAAGGTTTTCACTGTGCACCATTATGACCTTCTACCCGCCGGCGTCCTGACAACCAATGAGTCAGTCAGTCAGTGCTGGGGTCACATTAGCTCAGTGCTGGGGAAAAACTGAGGGAGAAGATTTACACTGGAATACTGTCAGTACCAGTGTGCAAAAGTGTATTTGCTGTGGAAGAATAAATCACCTCTAATGTTGGGTGCCCTACATGTGATATATAAAACTTTTGGAATAGTTTTTCACATTTTAGAATGGGATGCCTCAAGATGGTTCATAATTTTAAAGGGTGCCTTTGGGACTGTCCATAATTTTAAAGGGTGCCTTAAATGAAAAAAGTTGAGAAACACTGGTCTATCACACAGGAACCGAAGGGAAATTCCCCAGTAAGAACACAGTCCTCAATAAGAGACTCTAACCTCTCCCTATGCCAAAATGGGAAAAAAAAAAGCTTCGGCTAGATTTGGGCTTTAAGCTGCTGGGCAGTACAGCTAATGATCCAAGGTATACAGTAGTTTGGTGGAGTTGTTTTGCAATTAACAAATCTAAATTCTTTGGCATTTTTTCACTGACCATTCTAAAACCTTTATTTTTGTCCGAGTCACACAATGTGTTTACTGCCATCAACCTACCTTCACAAGTTCCACAGCAGTGCTAGAGAAATCACAGCAATATATAAACAGGCCAGGGTCACTGAAGAAAAAAAGTTGAAAAAGAAAAGGAAAAGCATCAGAAATAAAAAAAGGCATCTACCTGCTTATCTACCCACTTCCGGCCAAACATTATGCACGGTTGCTAGCTGTCAAACTCAGCTGTCCCTGGCAGTTCTGTTCCCCACAAATGGACAGGAATCAGAATGACTCCCAATCACACGACCACTAAGTCAGCAATGAGATAGTGATCACATGCAAGCTGAAGGCTTCATTTGGGGAAAAATGGTTTCAGGTTGCGCAGCAGCCTCTAAAGTAGCAGTGTGTCGCTGTTTAACATTGTAATGATCTAATGCAATTATAGTATTAAAAAAAAGCATGCATTAAAAGAGTGTACCAATCAAAATCCATATGTCTTTAAAATAAATTGTAAAATTATTTAGGTAGGCAAATTATTCAATGTTTGCTGACAAATATTAAAAGAATAAGTTCACCTTTGGAACAGGTTACATGTTCCACCCGTTTTTAAGGTGGAACATGTGACATGTTCCGATAGCCGCAGCCACCCGCCTGCCACCCCCTCTGACAGATAATACGGGGAGAAGTTTCCCCATTCTACCTGTCAAATTTGAAAACAGTGCGGCCCTGTGGGGCTCTGCCCATACAGCTGCGTCATTCATTTATGGACTTTGGTAAATGAATGAACTGCAAGTCCCGACAGACTTAGCGGTTGTGGGCTTGTAGTTGTAAATGAACTACCATGGCGTTGTGGAGCTCTGTGGTAGTTCATTGAAGCTTCCTGTCAGAATATCTGCTTGACCGTACATCCCGTACGACAAGCAGATATTCTGACAGGTCTGCAGAAGACCTGCATGGCGTCAGCAATCTACTGATCGCTGGTGCAATGCTTTCCAGGCTCCTTTGGACAAAAATAATAAATGCACATTTTTTTACCTGCAAAAAAAAAAAAATGTGTATTTATTATTTTTGTCCAAAAGGTGAACTTATCCTTTAAATGGTTTAAAAACGGCCTAGGCATCTTGACTTCAATCACTTTGGCCACAAAATATTGAATAAATGCCACATACAATTTACTCACTTATTTGTCTGTAATATTGGGAAGACCGTGTTCCCGACACCACATCCCACCTATGATTGAAAGAAAGAAAAGAGCAGGTTACATATCAGGGAGAGATAGGGGGGCTGAAGGAAAAAGGACACCTTGATCCGCAGAGAACATTTCGTTACACCAAACTGATCAAATGATTACAGAAGAACCTGAGCCAGCGCAATCAACAAGAACTGGAACTGAGTAATCAGGTGATCTGTGTTGCATGAAAAATACATATATATATATGTCTGACAGTTAAGGACATTGAAACTTAGCTGTGCAAAAGGTTTGTAAAATGAATGATGCTCACTGCAGGTTTCAAAGCTCACTGGATTGCTCAAGCTCCTGTGTGGGTAGATTTGGTGCTTTTATTATATATATATATATTTTATTTTAATTGAATAAAAATTATTGGAATCAGAAAAGATCACTTAATTACAACGGACCTATCTTAAGCACAGAAAGGGGGTGCCATTGTTGATATCCTTCTGAAAATGCTAATTGCTTGGCTGTTTAGACCCACTGTCTTTAGTACTTTCTGTCTCACCGAGCTGGATATTGTATGCAAATCAGAAAAATCAGAAGTCCTTATCTATATGCCTCTTTTGGGTTTGCAAATTTTGAAATATTGAAGCAAAAAGGGTCAGCATGGCAGAGGAGACCTCAATAATAGCAGCCACCAGGTATCTCTCCCTAATGATGGGTTTCCCCAAAGGGCGGCATGCTAGATGAGCATTTACAGCTTTTTCCTGGCTGGTGGACATTAAAGCTAGAGAGTGCTGCAAGTCAAAAGAGCAAGATTAGATATTTATTCATCTATTACATGTTTTTTATAAAGCACCAATATTTTATGCAGTGCTTTACATATTGTATATTTTTATCAATAAATGCCTTTAAAAAGGAGCTTACAATCTAGAGTTCCCATGGCACATGCATACATACAATATGGCCAGTTTAGACAGGAGACAATTAATCTAGCAGCAGGTCTTTGGAGTATAGGAGGAAACCGGAAGTACCCAGAAGAAACCCACGCAAGCAGGAGAACATGCAAACTCCCTGCAAAGAGTGTCCAGGCTGCAATTTGAGCCAAGAACCCAAGTACTATGAGGCAAGAGTGCTAACCACTAAGACACTGTGCTGCCCCAGTGGACTGCAGTCTTTGGAACTAAGAATGGTATGACAAGTGTTTAATACTGAAGTGCATAAACATTAAAGCCAAACAACAGGCAGATGTAAAAGACATGAATTAATGCAGATCTGTGTTCATTTAATGTACTAATGATACTATAATATCATTATACTCATGTACTGCATGCAAATGTCCTGATAAGAAACTAGCTGACAGGAGGAGGAGAAAGAGGTGAGGAAGCAGAGGGATGGTTTAATCAGTCTACTGCTGCTCCTTCACTAGCCTTGCTGGGCTGTGCGTCATAGTAAATCTCAGGAGCAAATGGGCAGAAATTCAAATTCTTTGGTATAAAAAGCTTTATTATGATGTATTTCACCTGTGGTTTTAGAGGTTTGTCTGCAGTTCAGCTGATGTCCATAGCACAAGAGGCAGCTCACCAAAAACCAGACTCCCCTCCCCTGGGAGGAAAGGCTTGTTATAAAGTAACTGGAGCAAAAGTGGTCAGAATTCCAGCAAAATTTTAAAAAATTATATGTATTTTAATGAATAAAAGCAACCAATCTGTATTGCGTATGTGTGAAATAACGTTTTAATTGAACATTGCCGGGATTACTGGCTACTGTTACTACAGTTACAAAAAATCCAAGTCATCTGCAGTCCATACATTCCTACACTTTACCTCCAAGATACGATAAGAAGCTGAGGATCCTGGGTAGTCATTGTTTACATCCTGTCCTTCTTGATCAGGGACACTTCTTTGACATTCAGCAGAATCTGGATGACTCCTACCACTGGGGGACAGCTCAGGAAACTCTGTAAACAGCCACTGTCTGTCTTTGAAGAATCGGTTTTCATGGATGGTGTAAAAGTCATCCCAGAAGTTGCTAGCTTTGTTTTCATACTCCTCTGTGGAAAAAAGAGAAAACAGGACACAATGGCACATTATACAATGACCTTCATTTCATTTACAGCAAGAGCCCAGTGATCAATGGTAAGGTCCAGGAGTGACAAGAGGGTGTTGCTAAGCTAGACCTTTAGGCCTCGTTCACACCATGTGGATAGATGTGTTTTTCTGCACTTGTCTCTGCAAGGACACAAAGAAAACAATTGTTTTTATGGGCCTTGTTCACACCACAACACTAGTATCTGAGTATTTTTTCTGTGCAGAAACATGCAACATGTAAAACTCACCTCACCAATATTGTGGTGTGAAGAAAGCCTATAGAAAACAATTGTTTTCTGTTTGTCTTTGCAGAGACTTGCTTTAGAAAATTCACTTCTCTGCACATGGTGTAAACAAGTCCAAAATATTCTATGAAAATCAAATCTTCACATTTTTATGTACATATGGAGGTTGATTCACTAAACCTGGTGAGTGCAAATTCTGGTGCAGCTGTGCGTGGTAGCCAATCAAGTTCTAACTTCAGCTTGTACAGTGAAGCTTTGACAATAAAACCTTGAAGCAGATTGGTTTCTATACAGAGCTTCACCAGATTTTGCACTCTGCAGTTTAAGTAAATCAACTCCCATGGTGTGAATGAGGCTTTACGTGATATTAAAGGCAAGTTTGAAAAAAAACAAAAACACAAAGATTTCATATATACCTGCTCTGTGCAGTGGTTTTGCACAGAGTGGCCCCGATCCTCCTCTTTTTGGGCACTCCATCCCCTCCCTCCTGCAAAGTGCCCCCAGAGCAAGCAGCTTGCTATGGGGCACCAAAGCAGGCTCCCTCCTGAGCTGCTACTCTACGTGTCCATTCAAAAAAGAGAGGGGAAAAATTGAACAGGAAAGAATCAAAAACGCATAAAAAAAATGCACCGGAATATACATGCAAAAATGCATCTGGACTGCGTTTCTATGGTGTGACCCAGCCCTTAGGCATTTAAATAAAATGACTTGGTGGTGACAATATGCCTCAAGGCACGAACAAGTCACAATCAATCCAACGGTCATTGTTGGCACACTTTAGGGTATTCCAAATTTCAAGTTCCAAATTCCAAATCTCAACATCCGAATTCAGCATCCTGAGTTTCAAAATTCCGAGTTTCAAATTCTGAATCCCAAGTTCCAAATTCTGAATTCCAATATCCAGATACTGAGTTTCAAGTTTAGAGTTGCTCAATTCCAAATTTGAAGTTCCAAAAGTCAAATGCCAGGTTTCAAATTTTGAATCCCAAATCTGAATCCTAAATACTGAGTTCCCAGTCCACAATTCCGAATTCACCAATTCCAAGTCCCAAAGTATGACTTTCAAATCCCAAGCTCCCCAAGTCCGAGTTTCTAATTTGAAGTTTCAACCAGTGGGTTGAATGAATAATAAGAATCCGATTCCCCCATCTACGCATTCAACGTGGATAGGTGAATAATTTCCACTGAGCTACTGTATTCTGACAGCAGGGAAACATCCCCACCATCAGAATACAATAATCAGTGTTGCCAGCTATGGATGGTAACATTGGTCCTATGGTAAAAACCCTACAGGCCGATTGTACACAAGTTGATCAATAGATTAACTTGTGTACAACCTGCCGTCTATACACGGATCGGAATCCGGATGGTCCTTGCTGGACCGGCCAAATTTCAATCCATGTATGACAAGCTTTAGGCTTTATTGACAATTTTTTTTTTCAAATGCAAAGGGGACAGGGAGGCAATCACTGCCAGTATTACATATCTTGGTGGAAGATATGAAAGGTACTGTAAACTAATGGATACCAGGGGGTGCATAGTTTTAGCCAGCCATAGATGGATCTAAATTTGGCCAATCCCTGTTAAACCAACCAAGTTTTGATCCATCTATGGTTAGGCTGGTTTTACAGGAGTCCTCTCGACTGACAGGAGTCCTCTCAACTGACAGGAGTCCTCTGACTGACTTCTGTACAACCAGCCTTTTGGGGTTTTTTTGCTTGATCAGTACCGCTGGGTATAGCTGGTAACACTGATTATTGTATTTTGATGGCAGGGAACTCTCCCCACTGACAGAATACAATAGCTCCAAGGGAGGGATTCCCCTCATCAACACCGACTCCCTGGTTGAACAGAAAAAAAAAAATGCATCATCTATGGCCTGCTTTAGAGGGAACACCAGGGGTATTGTCATCCTTGGGAGACATAGGCTGAAATTTAAGTCATGTATTGAAAGGTTAAGCCTTTGGGCTTTATGCTGACACATTTCAGAATGGCTAAGTGGTTAGCACTTCCGTCTGGCAGTACTGGGGTCGTTGGTTTGAATCCCAACCACGGCACCACCTGCCTGGAGTTTGCATGTTCTCCCTGTGCCTGCGTGGGTTTCCTCCGGGTACTCCAGTTTCCTTCCACACTCCAAAGACATGATGGTAGGTTAATTGGCTCCTGTCTAAATTGTCCCTAGTATGTGTATGTATGAATGTAAGTTAGGGACCTTAGATTGTACACCCCTTGAGGGTTAGGGACAGATGTGAATGTACAATATATATGTAAAGCGCTGTGTAAATTGACAGCGCTATATAAGTACCTGAAATAAATAAATTTTAATTTTATCTTGTTCAGCCAATGGGTCGATTTCCCTCATCCATTCTAACAAGGTAGATGGAGGAATCTCCACTGCTGCCTACAGCCGCAGATGCTAGGCTGCCATTTTTTTTTTAAAGCAATAGGCCAGCCCTTAACCCCTTGACACCGAGCGCACGCAAATATGCGGCCTCTCGGCATCTGGCCCTTGAAACCGAGTGGCCGCATATTTGCGTGCCATTAGAAAATACATATGTGCTGAGAGCGCGCACGCTGCGCGATCCCAGCCATATGTACGTGACTCACGGAAAAGTCCCGATCTCCCCTTGCGATTGGGACCTTTTCTGATTATGTGACTGCCGTGACAGCGAACCACGGCGGTCACATGACCCTAAAACCCCGCCTCCGGCTTCTGAAACTCTTAAAGGGCCGGGAGGCACCGGCGCTAAGAGGTTAAACTCTGAAAATGCACAATGCTTACTGGAGGACGCAGTAATACAATATACAGTCAGGTCCATAAATATTGGGACATCGACACAATTCTAACATTTTTGGCTCTATACACCACCACAATGAATTGGAAATGAAACGAACAAGATGTGCTTTAACTGCAGACTGTCAGCTTTAATTTGAGGGTATTTACATCCAAATCAGGTGAACGGTGTAGGAATTACAACAGTTTGCATATATGCCTCCCACTTGTTAAGGGACCAAAAGTAATGGGACAATTGGCTTCTCAGCTGTTCCATGGCCAGGTGTGTGTTATTCCCTCATTATCCCAATTACAATGAGCAGATAAAAGGTCCAGAGTTCATTTCAAGTGTGCTATTTGCATTTGGAATCTGTTGCTGTCAACTCTCAAGATGAGATCCAAAGAGCTGTCACTATCAGTGAAGCAAGCCATCATTAGGCTGAAAAAACAAAACAAACCCATCAGAGAGATACCAAAAACATTAGGCGTGGCCAAAACAACTGTTTGGAACATTCTTAAAAAGAAGGAACACACCGGTGAGCTCAGCAACACCAAAAGACCCGGAAGACCACGGAAAACAATTGTGGTGGATGACCGAAGAATTCTTTCCCTCGTGAAGAAAACACCCTTCACAACAGTTGGCCAGATCAAGAACACTCTCCAGGAGGTAGGTGTATGTGTGTCAAAGTCAACAATCAAGAGAAGACTTCACCAGAGTGAATACAGAGGGTTCACCACAAGATGTAAACCATTGGTGAGCCTCAAAAACAGGAAGGCCAGATTAGAGTTTGCCAAACGGCATCTAAAAAAGCCTTCACAGTTCTGGAACAACATCCTATGGACAGATGAGACCAAGATCAACTTGTACCAGAGTGATGGGAAGAGAAGAGTATGGAGAAGGAAAGGAACTGCTCATGATCCTAAGCATACCACCTCATCAGTGAAGCATGGTGGTGGTGTAGTAGTGTCATGGCGTGGGCATGTATGGCTGCCAATGGAACTGGTTCTCTTGTATTTATTGATGATGTGACTGCTGACAAAAGCAGCAGGATGAATTCTGAAGTGTTTTGGGCAATATTATCTGCTCATATTCAGCCAAATGCTTCAGAACTCATTGGACGCCGCTTCACAGTGCAGATGGACAATGACCCAAAGCATACTGCAAAAGCAACCAAAGAGTTTTTTAAGGGAAAGAAGTGGAATGTTATGCAATGGCCAAGTCAATCAAATGACCTGAATCCGATTGAGCATGAATTTCACTTGCTGAAGACAAAATTGAAGGGAAAATGCCCCAAGAACAAGCAGGAACTGAAGACAGTTGCAGTAGAGGCCTGGCAGAGCATCACCAGGGATGAAACCCAGCGTCTGGTGATGTCTATGTGTTCCAGACTTCAGGCTGTAATTGACTGCAAAGGATTTGCAACCAAGTATTAAAAAGTGAAAGTTTGATTTATGATTATTATTCTGTCCCATTACTTTTGGTCCCTTAACAAGTGGGAGGCACATATGCAAACTGTTGTAATTCCTACACCGTTCACCTGATTTGGATGTAAATACCCTCAAATTAAAGTTGACAGTCTGCAGGTAAAGCACATCTTGTTTGTTTCATTTCAAATCCATTGTGGTGGTGTATAGAGCCAAAAATGTTAGAATTGTGTCGATGTCCCAATATTTATGGACCTGACTGTATAAAATGACAGTTCGGCACATCAGTGTAATAAGTGACCTTAGTGCTCAATGTCATTAGATCATTTTCCATCCCTGAACACAATAGGTAATACCAGAAAAATGTCCTCATGGTTGGGAGGGTGTGCTGATGTATGCTAGATGTCTCCTACTCTCTTTCTGCGATCTCAGAATCCACCACTTACCTTGCTGCTCTAGTGATATGGGTTGACTGCTGTTTTCAAGAACCTTCTTTCTAGCTGTGGCTTCCTGCTCCTCGGACCACTGTACATTGTCCCTGAATAGACACAGAAAGGAAGCCGTCAGTTTTCCAAATGTAACACTTCAGCTCTAAGAAACCAACTTCCTATATCTGATCATCTTTACACTCCCCATATCCCACCGCTCACCATGCATTGTGCTGGAAGACCTGGCTTGGATCCTTCAGAAAGCGATTCCCAAACTGAGGCCTCTTCTCCTCCATACCAGGACTGGAAGCCATCGATGTCACAGAGACAGCGAACCCTCTAGAGGAGATCCAATCAGCAGCAGAGAAAGTGCATGGCCAATGGTGAATATACCGATCAGATGTCGAAGTACGTCTCAGCAGTACATGGAAGAGCCTGGAACCCCCACGTGTGGTCAAGGGGCGCATGTAACTAAAGGAGCTAAAGGAGACAGATTAGTGGAAGGAGATCAGCACATAATCAAAGCTAATGTAATTCCCAAAGATGGTTAACAGTCTCCTGTTATGTGTCTCCAGTCTATGACCATCTCCTGAACAGTCTCCTGTTCAGGGGAGGAGGACTGACAACTCATGGGGCCCCCCGGGCAATAGGGGATCATGGGACCCCTGTGTCCTTGCCCAAACTCAAAACAGTCTATGAAAAAGGTACCAGGGGCATCTCATGGGGCCCCCTACTGACCCCGGGACCTTGGGCATTGCCCAAGTTTCCAAACGGTCAGTCCACCTCTGCTCCTGTTATGTGTCTCCAGTCTATGACCATCTCCTGAGCAGTCTCATGTTATGTGTCTCCAATCTATGACCATCTCCTGAGCAATCTCATGTTACGTGTCCCCAGTCTATGACCGTCTCCTGAGCAGTCAGTCTCATGGTACGTGTCTCCAGTCCCGGACCATCTCCTGAGCAGTCTCATGTTACGTGTCTCCGGTCTATGACCATCTCCTGAGCAGTCTCATGGTACGTGTCTCCAGTCCGGGACCATCTCCTGAGCAGTCTCATGGTACGTGTCTCCAGTCCCGGACCATCTCCTGAGCAGTCTCATGTTACATGTCTCCGGTCTATGCCCGTCTCCTGAGCAGTCTCATGGTACGTGTCTCCGGTCTATGACCGTCTCCTGAGCAGTCTCATGGTACGTGTCTCCGGTCTATGACCGTCTCCTGAGCAGTCTCATGGTACGTGTCTCCGGTCTATGACCGTCTCCTGAGCAGTCTCATGGTACGTGTCTCCAGTCTATGACCATCTCCTGAGCAGTCTCATGGTACTTGTCTCCAGTCTGTCATCCTCTCCTGAGCAGTCTCATGTTATATGTGTCTCCAGTCTATCACCTTCTCTTGAGCAGTCTCATGGCATGTGTCTCCAGTCTATGACCGTCTCCTGAGCAGTCTCATGTTATGCGTCTCTGGTCTATGACCATGACCGTCTCCTGAGCAGTCTCATGGTACGTGTCTCCAGTCTATGACCATCTCCTGAGCAGTCTCATGTTATGTGTCTCCAGTCTATGCCCATCTCCTGAGCAGTCTCATGTTTGTGTCTCCGGTCTATGCCCATCTCCTGAGCAGTCTCATGGTACGTGTCTCCGGTCTATGACCGTCTCCTGAGCAGTCTCATGGCATGTGTCTCTGGTCTATGCCCATCTCCTGAGCAGTCTCATGGTACGTGTCTCCAGTCTATGACCGTCTCCTGAGCAGTCTCATATTATTTGTCTCCGGTCTATGACCGTCTCCTGAGCAGTCTCATGGTATGTGTCTCCGGTCTATGACCGTCTCCTGAGCAGTCTCATGGTACTTGTCTCCGGTCTATGACCGTCTCCTGAGCAGTCTCATGGTACTTGTCTCCAGTCTGTCATCCTCTCCTGAGCAGTCTCATGTTATATGTCTCCAGTCTATGACCATCTCCTGAGCAGTCTCATGGTACGTGTCTCCGGTCTATGACCGTCTCCTGAGCAGTCTCATGTTATCTGTCTCCAGTCTATGACCGTCTCCTGAGCAGTCTCATGGTACGTGTCTCCAGTCTATGACCATCTCCTGAGCAGTCTCATGTTATGTGTCTCCAGTCTATGACCATCTCCTGAGCAGTCTCATGGTACGTGTCTCCAGTCTATGACCATCTCCTGAGCAGTCTCATGTTACGTGTCTCCAGTCTATGATCATCTCCTGAGCAGTCTCATGTTACGTGTCTCCAGTCTATGACCGTCTCCTGAGCAGTCTCATGGTACGTGTCTCCGGTCTATGACCATCTCCTGAGCAGTCTCATGGTACGTGTCTCCGGTCTATAACCGTCTCCTGAGCAGTCTCATGGTACGTGTCTCCGGTCTATAACCGTCTCCTGAGAAGTCTCATGGTACGCGTCTCCAGTCTGTCATGACCTCTCCTGAGCAGTCTCATGGTACGTGTCTCAAGTCTTTGACCATCTCCTGAGCAGTCTCATGGTACGTGTCTCCAGTCTGTCATCCTCTCCTGAGCAGTCTCATGGTACGTGTCTCCAGTCCCGGACCATCTCTATGACCGTCTCCTGAGAGCAGTCTCATGTTACGTGTCTCCGGTCTATGACCATCTCCTGAGCAGTCTCATGGTACGTGTCTCCAGTCCCGGACCATCTCCTGAGCAGTCTCATGGTACGTGTCTCCAGTCCCGGACCATCTCCTGAGCAGTCTCATGGTACGTGTCTCCGGTCTATGCCCGTCTATGACCGTCTCCTGAGCAGTCTCATGGTACGTGTCTCCGGTCTATGACCGTCTCCTGAGCAGTCTCATGTTATGCGTCTCTGTCTATGACCGTCTCCTGAGCAGTCTCATGGTACGTGTCTCCAGTCTATGACCATCTCCTGAGCAGTCTCATGTTATGTGTCTCCAGTCTATGACCATCTCCTGAGCAGTCTCATGTTATGTGTCTCCAGTCTATGACCATCTCCTGAGCAGTCTCATGGTACGTGTCTCCAGTCTATGACCATCTCCTGAGCAGTCTCATGTTATGTGTCTCCAGTCTATGACCATCATCTCCTGAGCAGTCTCATGGTACGTGTCTCCAGTCTATGACCATCTCCTGAGCAGTCTCATGTTACGTGTCTCCAGTCTATGACCATCTCCTGAGCAGTCTCATGTTACGTGTCTCCAGTCTATGACCATCTCCTGAGCAGTCTCATGTTACCTGTCTCCAGTCTATGACCATCTCCTGAGCAGTCTCATGTTATGTGTCTCCAGTCCCGGACCATCTCCTGAGCAGTCTCATGTTATGCGTCTCCAGTCCCGGACCATCTCCTGAGCAGTCTCATGTTATGCGTCTCCAGTCCCGGACCAATTCCTGAGCAGTCTCATGTTATGCGTCTCCAGTCCCGGACCATCTCCTGAGCAGTCTCATGTTATGCGTCTCCAGTCCCGGACCAATTCCTGAGCAGTCTCATGTTATGCGTCTCCAGTCCCGGACCATCTCCTGAGCAGTCTCATGGTACGTGTCTCTAGGTATGTGTCTCTAGTCCCGGACCATCTCCTGAGCAGTCTCATGGTACGTGTCTCTAGGTATGTGTCTCTAGTCCCGGACCATCTCCTGAGCAGTCTCATGCAATGTTTCCCCAATCAAAGTCTGCTAATAACCGTCCCTAGCCTGCAATAACTCCCAATCCATGTTCCCAGCCTCTGACAGTCTCTTGTAGCATGCCTGTAGGCTTTGCCAGCTTTCTGTAGCATTATCTTCCCTGAATGTCTGACTCTGGTGACATGAGGGGCCATAGCTGAGGCCCCCTCCATCCAATATGTTATCCACTGAGCAGACACAATCAGCTGCTGAACACTCTGCCTGGGGCCATCCCCTCTGCTAAACCTTGACAGCCCCAATCACTACCTCTGACCTGGATCCTTGGGAAGCCCCACAATGTGATGTCACCAAGGTGTCCCCACTGAGCAGACAGGCTGCCTACCAATGGATGAGGGTGTCAGCACAGGAGAAGCTCTCCTCTATACGATGGAGGACAGAACACACAACACAACCATCACACTGACCGACCTGAACTCACTGGGCTCCTCCGGCACATGAGGATAGAAGACCTCCACTGTACAGGAAGAGGAGGAGGCCGGAGGCGGGGCGGAGTGGGCGGGGAACACCGGGAAGAACCAGTTGATTGAACGGTTCAGCTTAGGGGAGGGGGAGTGGGCGGGGAGACAAAGATAATTGATATCGCATAGCTAATGGGCGGAGAGACAGAGACCATTGCCTCCTCGCTACGGAGGGGCGGGGTTGTGGGTGGGGAGACAAGGATGATTGATAGCCCACCACAGCGGGACTGTGATTGGACGGAGACACGGATGATTGACCGCTCTCAGCAGAGGGGAGGGGTAGTGAGCGGGGAGATAGATATGATTGACAGTTCCATCCTGAAGAGGGTGGGCGGGAAGCTAAAGATGATTGACACTCTCATCCTGAGGTGAGTGGGCGGGAAGATATACATGTTTGACAGCTCCCTGCTGAGGTGGGTGGGCGGGGTAATAAAGATGATTGGCAGCTCCCTCTTGAGGTGGGTTTGTGGAATAATAAAGATTTATTTATTTCAGGTACTTATATAGCGCCATCAATTTACACAGCACTTTACATATATATTGTACATTCACATCAGTCCCCAACCCTCAAGGAGCGTACAATCTAAGGTCCTTAACTTACATTCATACATACACATACTAGGGACAATTTAGACAGGGTTCAATTCACCTACCAGCATGTATTTAGAATGTGGGAGAAAATGAATACCTAGAGGAAACCTACGCAGGCACAGGGAGAACATGCAAACTCCAAGCAGGTGGTGCCTTGGCTGGGATTTGAACCAACAACCTGAGTACTGCCAGGCGGAAGTGATAACCATTTAGCTACTGAAGATAATTGGCAGCTTGTGCCTGAGGTGAGTGGGCGGGGTAATAAATATGATTGACAGCAGCTCTCTTGCCTGAGGTGGGTGGGCGGGGTAATAAATATGACTGGCAGCTCCCTCCTGAGGTGAGTGGGCGGGGTAATAAAGATGATTGGCAGCTCCCTCCTGAGGTGGGTGGGCGGGATAATAAAGATGATTGGCAGCTCCCTCCTGAGGTGGGTGGGCGGGATAATAAAGGTGACTGGCAGCTCCCTCCTGAGGTGGGTGGGCGGGGTAGTAAAGGTGACTGGCAGCTCCCTCCTGAGGTGAGTGGGCGGGGTAGTAAATATGACTGGCAGCTCCCTCCTGAGGTGAGTGGGCGGGGTAGTAAGGATGATTGGCAGCTCCCTCCTGAGGTGAGTGGATGGGTTAAGAAAGATGATTGGCAGCTCCCTCCGGAGGTGAGTGGGCGGGGTAATAAGATGATTGGCAGCTCCCTCCTGAGGTGAGTGGGTGGGTTAAGAAAGATGATTGGCAGCTCCCCCTCCGGAGATGGTGGGCGGGGTATAAAGATGATTGGCAGCTCCCTCCGGAGATGAGTGGGCGGGGTAGTAAACGATGATTGGCAGCTCCCTCCTGAGATGAGTGGGCGGGGTAATAAAGATGATTGGCAGCTGCCTCCTGAGGTGGGTGGGCGGGGTAATAAAGATGACTGGCAGCAGCTCTCTCCTGCAGCTCCCTCCTAAGGTGGGTGGGCGGGGTGAGGTGGGTGGGCGGGGTAGTAAGGATGATTGGGTAGTAAGGATGATTGGCAGCTCCCTCCTAAGGTGGGTGGGCGGGGTAGTAAGGATGATTGGCAGCTCCCTCCTAAGGTGGGTGGGCGGGGTAGTAAGGATGATTGGCAGCTCCCTCCTGAGGTGATTGCAGTGCAGCGGTGGTGGTCCTCCAGGTCCTCCTGCATATATATGAGTTTCCTGGCCGGTCAGTGTGGTGTGAGCAGAGTGCTGGAGGGATATTTATCAGTTTAAAGTGTAACTCCAGCTAAAGGGTTCAGTATTGGATGGAGTGGAGGAGGGGTTATCTGTGTCCCCTCAGGGGAGAGACCCCTCACTTCCTGTCCCTGTCAGGATGGACAGACCCTCTTAGGCACACTTCACAATGCAGTCCTTTGCATATATAGCAGCTTTTCAATCATTAGATGTGGCGGCAGTTTTCCCTTTTTAGGCTTCTTCACAATCTGCCCCACACCTCCTGTATTAGGCCCCATTCACACTTCTGAACACCTTCCCCTTCACTCTTTGTTTTGCACATTTTCACACGTTTCCAGCATGGGTTGGCTTCAAATGTGCTGTCCTACACGTCGCCAAAGAAGCTTCCGCAGCGTGACACACAAAGCCGTGTCTCAGGAGCATGCCTGATCGGGTGCCCCCATAGCAAGCTGCTTGTTGTGAGGGCACCTGACAGGAGGGAGGAGCATCAGGAGGGGGGGGGGGCCCAAAAAGAGGAGGATCCAGGCCAGGGGCGGACTGATAACTCATGGGGCCCCTGGGCAATAGGGGATCATGGGGCCCCTGTGCCCTCGCCCACACCCAAAAAAGCCTATGAAATGTACCAGGAGCATCTCATGGGGCCCCCTACTGACCCCGGCCCTCAGGCAGTGCCGAATGGTCAGTCCGCCCCTGATCCAGGCTGCTCTGTGCAATACCATTACAGGTATGTATAACATGTTTGTTGTTTAGAAAAACAAAAAAAAAAACAAATACTTTAGTATCACTTTAATGGGTTGCTGTGCCTGAGCAAACACGAGCCGCACCGATCCCATAGGTGTGAACCCCGCCTTAGCCCTGGTTCACACCACCGACGATTTCAGGTGCGATTCGGTAATTGAAATCATACCTGAAATTGGATCTAATGAATGTGGATGTGAGTGTCTTAACATACGCGATTTGTTGCAGCGCAATATCAAAAGTAGTTCTCGTATTACTTTTTCTGCAGTTTGTTGTGATTTCACATATAGACTACAATAGAAATCGCACTGCGAAACGCAATGGAAAATGTAAGAAATCATTGGGAAATCTTCAGAAAATGCAGTGAAATCGCAAACAATTTTAAATCGCATCCGATAACTGGCATTTCCTTATTTACATGCGATCAGCGATGATTGGACACAGCTGATCGCATGACAAAGCCAAAGTCATCGGCTCTTTCCACTGATCAGTGATCTGCTGTGTCCCAGGGACACAGAGCACCACCGATCGCTGTGCGGCCCCAGGGGCACGTACACGCAGTTAGAGCGGAAGGCCGTCATGTGACGTCTTCCCAGAATGAGAGAACCACCGCCCGTCCGTCATTTCCTTATATGGCAGGCGGGATGCGGGTAAAGTTGCACAGCGTAGTAATGTAAAAAATTGCCTGGTCAGGAAGGGGGGTAAATCCTCTGGAGGGCAAGTGGCTAAAATGGCCGATTTTCCCGGCAATGATGGGCAAATCGGCCGATTGTTTTACCGATAAAAAAATCTGTGCATGAGCCGTGACCTGCAAGAAGAAGAAAAAGAAGAATTCCAGTCTGCTATTATATTTTATATGAAAAGTATTGCGGTTGCAACATTGTATCTATTTGTATCCGAATAAAAACATCTGTATCCAAAATGGATACAAATAGATACATTGTTGCAACCGCAATACTTTTTCATGTCAAATATAATAGCGGAGCTCTCTGCAGGGACAGAAGTAATTAAATGCCGGCCGTAGACGGGATGAAAAACGGCCGGTTTTTGACTCATCTATGGCCTGCATTGGGGTTACCAGTAATTTTTAGGGTTGCAAAATTAACCCTAACAGTTACTGCTAATTCTAATGATTACCACTAACCCTAACCATCAACCATAACCCTAGCCATTAACCCTAACCAGGGGCGTCCCTTGGATTGGTGTCACTCGGTGCGGTAACACTTGGTGACACCCCCTCCGACGATCCCCGCAGAATGGATCGGATCTGCGGATTGAGCATAATGGATCGGACTCCAATCCATAATGCTCCCCAATTCGCAGATCCGATCCATCCTGCGGGAATTGTCGACATGCAACCTATATGGGGTTACACCGGACTCGCTCTACGAAAAGGTAAGTTGTAAAGAAAGCTGACAATCCCCGCAGGATGGATCAGATCCATCCTGCGGGGATCATCGGCTTGCTTTACAACTTACCTTTATGTGGAGCGGGTCTGGTGTCACCCTGTGAAGTAGGTGTCACCCGGTGTGGCGCACATCCCCTGCACCTGCCTCGAGACGTTACTGACCCAAACCCTAGTCATTAACCGTAAGCCATTAGTGCCAGTCAGTGCTGTCTATCAGTGCCCTAACAGTTCTAGTCAGTACCACCTAACAGTGCCAGTCAGTGCCGCCTATAAATGTTAGTCAGTGCTGCCTATCAGTGCCATATATGGATACTGCCTTTCGGTGCCTATCAGTGATGTTTGTCAATGCCCACCAGAGATGCCTGTTAATGCCCATCAGTGACACCTACCAGTGCTTTCTCATCAGTGCCCATCAGTGCCGCCTATCAGTACCCATCAGTGCAGCCTCATTAGCGCACATCAGTGAAGGAGAAAAATTACTCATTTACAAAATTTTATAACAGAAACTAACTTTTTTTTTTTTTTTTAATTTTTCAGTTGTTTTTGGTTTGTTTAGCAAAAGATTAAAACCCCAGAGGTGATTAAATACCAGCAACAGAAAGCTCTATCTGTCTCAAAAAAATGATAAAAATTTCGTATGGGTACAGTGTTGCATGACTGCACACTTGTCATTCAAAGTACAACAGCGCTGAAAATTGGCCTGGGCAGGATGGGGGTGAAAGTGCCCGGTAGACAAGTGGTTAACTGACAATTGCGCGGTTATGCAACACTGCACCCAAATGAAATTTATATCATTTTTTTCCCACAAATGGAGCTTTCTTTCGGTAGTATTTGATTTTTATTTTCTGAGCTATAAACAAAAAAAGAGCGAAATTTAAAAAAAAAAAAAAAAAATTCTTTTTGCTATAAAACATATCCAGTAAAAAAATTTCACAAATCAAATTTCGTCATAAATGTAGGCCAAAATGTATTCTGCTAGAATTTTTTTTTGTAAATATTATACTAGTAATGACAGCGATCAGTGACTTATATCGGGATCGCGGGACTGTGACGCGCACCCCCTAAAGGAAATACCAAATC